CAACATAATATACCTTTACAATATATATATTTATATTTATATATATTGTATAAGCAACAGTCTATATACATATAAACTATATACTTCCTTTGCTAGCAACATTTGCCATCTGTCTGTTCCCGTCTCTTGATTCGCTAGTTAAGTCATTGCTCGTTATCTTATAGGCAAATCAGCAGCAGCGAGGTTCGCATTACTCCACAAAAAGTGCCGTTGTATGCGTAGTATACATTTTTTTTTTTTCTATTTTCCTTTTTTATTCTCATTTAAACAGTTCGCTATTGTTATTACACATTTTCCGCTTTGATTTAGTTTTGTCTTTTTTTTTTTTTGTAAAATTTGCTTTGATTTATTTTCTGTGTTGTGGGTTATTCTTGCGGGTTAAATGGGGCCAAGTTGAAATTGTGGCGCAATGTGCTAACGGAAATAAGGCATTACGAAATTTAAGTCATGATTTGACTCACAATGGATTACCTGCAGCAAAGCAAAATTATGAATTATTGTATAATAAAAGGGAGGTAAATTAAGTGAATTGCTTTTAAGCGGAGTTTTTTTTATAACCAATCATAAACAAAAAATATTTTATAATAAATTAATTAAAATGTAAAAGTAAAATATTTTTTTTATAAGGAATTTAAGTCAAAATTCTTTTCTATCTCTGCATTACAATATCTCTCTTTTTTTTTGCTCTCATACATAGCATTCATTTCGTTTAAATTTATAGAGTGGCGAATCGAATAAAGAACTTTCTTGAATCATTCAGACTGACATTTGGTCAGCAAAAAATTTTTAAGAGGTCATTGCACTTGAATATGAATTTCATATTATTTATTATCTAGCACTTAGTTAATCTACTAGATTCTTCTATATGTATTTTTGAAAATAGCAGAGTTTAGAGAGTCGCAAAAGAAAGCGAACTCTTATATAAACATAAATGCGTCCCTAACTTCTCCTAAATATCATCAAAAAGACTATAAGATATATCACCCAATTTAATTTTTCTTTTAAATTCAACTTCAAATTATCGCTAAAATGACGTTACAAAACAGTTATTCAAATAAATTGAAAGCTTATGCTTGAATATCGCTCCCGAGGAAATTATTATAAATTTTTATTTAGATTTTTTATTGTATCAAGGGTATAACTTTTAACAAAAAAAAAAAATATGTTCTCAAGATATCACAACCTTGTGCTAATTCTGAGCATAAATATTCAAATTTAACAACTACCGAACGAATAGAAAAATTCAAACATAAGTAAAAAATCAGAAAAGCTCTCCAAATCGCCGCCAGCATTCAACACTTTCCGGCATTCATTGACACTTCTGTCGCCAACGAAACTTATTTACAACATTTTACAGCCACAACAATAAAAACGAAAAACATAACAACAACAACAACGAGCAGGCGCTAACGCGAACGGAAGTCAACAATGTTCACATTGGTAATTTTATGTAACTAATCAGAAACGGAAACGCCACCACTTAAGATAACAACAACAACAACACGACCGAATAAAAGAACAACAACAGCAACGAAGCAAACACCATCGCTATGATTAAGTTTCGCTATAAACGCAAAGAACCAGCTAACACAGCCGCCAATACGACGACAACGACGACGTTGGAGGAAACGAAGAACGCGAATAAAAACAAAAATAACAACAACAACAGTAATAATGTTAAAAATAACAATGTAGAGAGTGCGAAGGATGCCAAATCAGCAGCAACAGCAGCAGCAGCAGCTGCGGCGAAAGAGAATTGTCGACCAAATMAGAATGCGTTGAGCCCACAACAACAGCAACAGCAGCTGCTGCAGCAACAACTACAGAAACAGCAAATGCAGCAATTTCAACAGCAAATGCAAGAGCAGCAAATGCAGCAGCAGCAACAGCAAATGCAACAACAACAGCAAAAACTTCAGCTGCAACAACAACACTACGCGCAACCACCTGCCAACTGCAGCAGCATCAACTCACCACTCAAGCCGCAGCATCCGCAGCACTCTCACCTGATCAGCAATAATGGCACCTTGCCACGCAGCAGTCCGCGCAAAATGTACGATCCCCTGCTGGATGGCTATAAATCGGCGACGCTGACGCGTCAAACCGCCAGTAGCCGAAAAGTGTCTGCGCTCGCGAAGGTGGCGTCCACGGCCGAGTTGGCCGGTTGGGGCTACGCGTTCGGTGGCAGCATGAGCAATATAATTAACGGAAACAACAACAACAATTGTAATAGTAACAATAACAACAGCTATTACTATCGGAAGAGCAGCAGCAATGAGCATATCTTCGGCAGCAACGACACACTGCTCGCATACGAAGGGGGCGGCGGCGGCGGGGAGCGTGATCGTTGCATAAACGCTGTGATTGTGAGTGTTGTAGCGTAAACTGTTAAACTATGTGCAATTTAATTTAATTTGCTTTTACATTTTACTACCATTTTCTATGCTAAGTACGCGCTATTATCTTTGTGTGTGTGTGACTGTGTGTGCATTCTAGAATTTAATTATTATCCTCTAACCCACTATTATCCGCTGCCAATTTGCAACCATTCCAATACATTTCATTAATATTTTTACTATTTCCATTTTTCCACAGGAACTTTTCCAACAACTGCAGACCAGCTCCGAACCGGCTCTATGTCCGGAGCCTTTGCGTCGTGCCTTGGCTAGTGGTCCGCTAGCAGGTCGTCGCTTTCCGCTCGGTTGCCTTGGCGATGCGGCCGAGTGCTTTGAATTGCTGTTGCATCGTGTGCATTCGCACATTTCGCCGGATGATGGCGACTCTTGCGATTCGCAGGCGTGTGTGGCACATCGTCGCTTCGCGATGCGCGTCATCGAACAGAGCGTGTGCAAGTGTGGCGCCAATTCGGAGCAATTGCCATTCACACAGGTGAGTGACGACGTCAAATTAGGCACATAGCATGTATTTTACTCAATTTGTTAGGAATTAAATTTAATAATTAGAAATGCTCAGTTAAGCGGTTTTAATGCGAACTAATGCTTTTTATAGACTTTCTTGGCAGAGGAAGCTTCATAATTTGAAAATTTCCTGGAAAGAAGTGTATATTTGAAATCAGCTCTTTTTTTAAAGATCTAACTGAAAATCACTTAGAAGGCAGTAAAGCGGAAAGTAGAAAATATAGCAAGTTTATTATTATTCATTCCTCCCAAAAACAGACACATTTTTTACAATACAGTCCTATTTTTTCAAATAATTTCTTTCCATGATCAGTGACGCCATCTATCGCCAACTTTTTGCTTCTGATACAATGAGCTTTCATCGTAAAAAGTGTTATACCTTAATTAAATCTTCAAACCCTTTCTTCCACACTGGATCATCTCGATCAAAAGTAGCTATTATGAAGTCAAGCCATCTCACTAGCCCACAGTGTTATCATTTTCGATTGATTACAGTTCATATAAAGTTTACTTAGCTCCTCTCCAATAGTTTTCAATCAACTTATTTCCATTTAATTACTGAGAAACTTTTGTAAACTCATACATTTTTAGTTTTCGTTGTCAAAGTCACGGAACAGATTTTTTCTTCTAAGATGCAGTCGACTTTGCTTCCATACTCCCTTCCACAATTCACTCTTTTGTTAATAGTTCACAACTAACCACTCTACATACAAATATGATGAAATATGTCAAACTAAACTTGAACCTAGCCCACGAAGGCGTTTTTCTTTCAGTAAAACTAATTCATTCATTCATACATGGCTATATAGAGACCATTAAAGCGTAAATCTGTAGTAGCTTTAAAAAGTATACCAAAACGCCCACAATATAACCAAAACGAAAGCCACCGCAACCACTTGCCCTATAACTGGCTTCGCGAAAGAAATATCAGCTTGCTACATTTGATTGCTGTGACACCTTCGCCATTTGTGGCCCCCCACACTGCAGTGCAAAATCATGTTTATGTAGGTGCATGTGTATATGTGTGTTTGTGAGTGTTTATACATCACCTGGTGATTTGGTGTTAAGTTCAAGAATGCAAATTTCCGCAACGCTTGTCTTATTTTACAAATCATGCAAAGCATGAGTACACGCGGCGCTCAAGTGCAACAGCATAAATTGCGCAGACCAGTCTTAGATACACCCATACGCATGTAAATGGGGAACATTAGAAGTATACAACAACTAAACTGGTGCATGAGCTCACATTCACACAAGAAACTGGTTGGTTCGAGTGAATTAAACGAGTTTCCACATCTTTCCCATTGAGTTGATCTGAGCTAATAGAACACTAAAACGTATTTTGCTTTTAAAAATTATGAAAAAAATTACTTATCTGAAAAACATTATAAAAAGCGTGAAAAATATTTAATTTTAATAGAAAAA